TTCACTTCTTGCAATTTGGGAAGTAGAATTAGCTTGTATTCATTTTAGCTAATTAAAAATGCATGAAACGTAGAATTTCGTCTTTGAAGGATGTCTCGGGATTATCCGAATAGCACGGAAACGAAATATAAAACGAAAATATACAATCTCGCGGAGAGCTCGTTCATTTCCAGCTGTCGCGAGTTGTACTCGGGTACATACTCTTGGCAGTCGCGATACGAAGAAGCTTTCGCCTTCTTCGCGGCCCCTCGGAGACGAGATTTCAGCACCGGTTTCCCCATGTTGCCATTCTCGCGTTCAAATCTTCCGACTTGTTCGTCGTATATCTATCTATCCTATCTATGATAAGTGTGTCCGCCGTCCGACGTCGAGACGACGGCGGCGATTCGCCCAGTTGAACACAATTCGGTCGGTACTCCGTTTCTATTTTTTTCCTTTCCTAATTAATTTTAACGGTCTCCAATACGCATGCGGTCGATCAACGTATACGATGTTGCTTGCTCGTCGAGTCTTTTTGTGCCTTTAGAGTCACTTCGTGACTGAAAAAAGCTTACGGATTACAAGTTTATTAAAGCCGATCAGGAAGGTACCGAATCCTCGACCGACAACGGAGGAGACTTTTTCGATTTACTACATTGGTTCAGGCGAACTCGCGTGGACTTGTCAACTCGTGAACGCGCGAATCTTCCTCCAAATTTTAAATTATTTATATTCCCTTCAATTTTTTCATTAACTAATAACTGTTCATAATGTTTCTATATACTTTTGTATACGTATATAATAATTTGTAGTTTAAAATTGTAAAATATATTAAACAAATTGTTTGTTCTTGCCAATGAAACAAATCGTGTCACAGCCACGCATTATTAATAATCATGCAAACAAAAAATTTATATAAAGATAGGCATTATTATAATGATTTTAATTAAAATTTAATTACAACACACACACACACACAAAAGTAAATCTACGCTTTCAATCAAATAAATATTATTTTTACAAATAGATAAATATTAATTTCCAATCAAATAAATATTTTTCCTACTATAATGATACGCTTTTGATGACAATTTTATGGAAATCGTATTTTTAAATAATATAAAATTATACTTTATTCATGGTGTAATTAATATTTTTCCCCAAAAAAGCGTAACTTAAAAATAAAGCAAAGATCATTAATAATGAACGTGGAATTATGACAATGGCGATGAACAAGTATCATCCCTAAAGTGAAACTCGAGCGAAATCAATCATACGGAATAATCTTGATCTATCTTAACGGTATCAGAAAATAGGAACACGTATACGTAACCGGTAATTTAGATTAAGCACAAAATGATTATTCTTTGCTAACATACACTTGGAAGACACATCTAAGTGTCTCATCAATTTTAAAGGAAGATCCCGCGCGTACGCGAGGGAAGACCTTT